CGGCACCGAGGTCAGGCTGACAGGCCTGTAGTTCCCCGGATCCTCCTTCTGGCCCTTCTTGTAGATAGGCGTCACATTGGCAACATGTGACGTGTTAGCATGTTTTGATCTTGTATGTCAGAGGAATTTTGTATGTCAGTATTAGTTTGGTGTGTTTTGAAATGTATATGATTTTATACCGATGTTAAAACCTATGAATGGATGAAGCAGATTTGCTTTGCCATAAGTAAGAATCTTTAAAGGAGAAAAACTTCCTTATTGTCTTGAGTAACAGAGTAGCCTGTCCTCTGTATTCATTTACACTGTTAAGGGAGCCTAGGATATAAGTTAGTAGAAGAAATAGGTAATTTGTCCTTTTGTCTTGTACCATTAGTTGTTTTAAGATTCTGAGTAAGGGAGACAAGATGAAATGCAGAAAGAATCTTGGTAACAAACATCCAGTGACTCTGAATCTCTCTGGGGACAGGTGTGGTTGAAGAAGTGTACTGTGAACATCATTGGTTTGCTACTAGGGAAGCACTGATATACACTCTTTGGAGTGGCTGCTAGGTTTCCACAGTGGCATCTGACAGCAGAGGCCAAGTCTCTTGGGGCCTGTGAAGAGGGTCCACTCTGGAGATTGTTGGAGTCTGGGTTTAAATACATGCGGCCTTCACGGGTGCCTATGGTCAAATATTATTAGAGGGACCAACTCAATATTTTGACTTACTTTGTTCTGTAAGTGTTGCCTTGATTTTTTAATTTCTCAAACTTTACCACTTGCTGAAGTGCTTCCTTGTTTTCACAAAGGGGTTCTTTAAATCCTAGACTGGTGAGTGATCCCTTCTACCTTGTCTTCACTTGCAGTTTCTCTTTGCATATAAAAGGTACCTATCTGCTATCTGCGAGTGAGTGTTTTATTGATAAAACAGTTTATAGACAAGACCTTTAGAGCTAGGAGAGTCAGTTGCTCAGCGCAACTTTATAGTTCATCTTTTGTGTTGGTTCTTTCTCTGTTTGTTGTAGCCTGGCTACACAACTTGAGTGCTAGATTGTACAGAAATTCTGCTTTTGCAGCTCTACAGCAGGAAATGCACTTGCATAATTAGCCAGGCTTCAGAACAAGCAATCTTTTATAGTGAAAAAAAGATGTTTTGTTTTACACCAAAAAAAAATATTGTCAACACTACTGCAGCGAAACAACTGTTAGTTTGTTCTCAGAAGTGTCCTGAGCGTAGTGTTTGTGTAACTGACCCTCACAACTCAGCTCGTGTAGAAGCCCTTATGAAACCGCAGATACTAAATAGAGAATGCTCCTTGGCAGGAGTGAGCGCCTCACGTTGTGTTGTTTATATCAGGAGCTATTGTTTCTGAAGCGTGCCTGTTCCAGCTGGGAGAGGTACAGCTTTTTCTCCAGTTCGGAAAACTGCTTTAGCCTCTTTCCAAATAATGTTGATTCCCTCACTTTGCCCTCTGTGTCTTTCAACAAAGGACAGCAGAAAAGGTTCAGATGGGGGACACCTCGCAACTTCCGTGAAGTTCTTGCTTTTGCATGCTGTTGTCTTGCTTGGTTTTATGTTTTGCTACAGAATACTTGGAATAAAATAACCCAACAGATTGTATGGAAGATTTTTTTAGCTCAGTCTCCCGAGAGTTGGCTGAACATCTTGGAGGTTGCGATCAGGACACTGATAGTGTTCAGCTGGGGGATGCCAGGACTAGCAGAATCCAGCTGTTGGGTTTAGCATCTTTTACACTCAAAATAGGATATAAGAATTGTTGTTGAATTTAAAAGATCGCTATATTAATTACCAGCTGTTTATCGACTGCTATTTAGGAAGAAAACCAAACTCTGTTTCAACCTCTCTTTACTACATCTGTCGATGTAGAAATTTTTGTAATGTTTCTGTTTCAATCATATGACTTCAGTGTCTCAGAACAATAATAGAAAAGCAAGGCGCTTTTTTTTTTTCTTTTTTCCTTTCTTCTTCCCAACAGACAAGCCACGATGGTAGGACTTGCATCTGGATTCACTTTAGCCTGCAGAATGATAGAATGGGTCTGCATTTGAACCAAAGCTAATGGCTTTGCGTTATTCCTGTGAGATTTCATACTTGTGTGGTGGTATTGTCCAGTTTTCACTTCTGAAAAATAATGGAAAAGTATGTCTTCTCAGCTTTGTAAGTGAGCTGCAGCAAGAAGTTGAATTCTGCATTTTGAATTTGAATCTATCCTACTACTGTTCAGTTTTAAATGTGTTGCTTTAGTTTAACAAATAGATATAGGCAAAGGCATTTACAGACGGGAATAACTTTCAAATACAGTGCATCACCTTTTCTAACTGATAAAGAGCTAGAATTAGTTGGGTCTGGATTAAGGGGCTCAAATTAAACTCAGAGTTGTGGTTCCAGTTATTTTTAGCACAGTATTATTTTAGCACAGTCTGTCTGACCTCCTCTAAGAAGTAACATGAATCAACTAAACACACAAATGACTACCTGTAGTTTCCCAAAAGTTGTCAGCAGGTGAGAAATACCTGATTTCTACTAACTGGTAACGTGTTTACATACATCCTTCTGCAGCTTCTCTTTAAAACCAATAAAATATTGGTTATTTTATTTTATATTTGGTAAAGCTTAGCAGTTTCACACATGCATGCAGATTGCCTTAAATCAGGTCTTTTGATTTTTGCGCAGGCCCCCTCAGTAATTACTTTTATATATTTATTTATATACTTTTATATAGAGTTCTATCACTCACAAGGTAGCAATTATCTTTTCTTTCTAAATAGGCTACTGTCATATGGGGTATGTGTAGTTTCTGGCTGGATTACTTTAGGGTTTTGCATTGTTATTGGTGATTTATGCTACCTAAGAAAGGGAAAAGAGCGATCTTATGTTATTCCTTCTTTGCTGTGCTTTTGGCTAATTTTGAGGATTGTCTGCTCGAAGTACTGCATTGCGTTTGTGGCAAGGGGAATGGAATGGGTACAGTTAGCTGCACTTTCAGAGCACTGACCATTAATGTCATCTCTTTGATAATATACATAGGTGATGAAATAACTGAACTGAAGGGATTGTCATGGGTCATAAGGAGAATGGTTCCTTGTAACTCAGTTATTAGTGATGAAAAACATTTACAGATATTTTCCTTATTCCACAGCTTCCATTTGAAATGGAAATTTATTACATCCAGCATGTGATGCTTTATGTTGTGCCCATCTATCTGCTGCGGAAAGGAGGTAGGTTGGCAATTTACTCTGTATGTATTGAATGGTCCCATGCAATGAAAAAGCTGTGCTTAAGGGTCACCACGGGCTTTACTCTCACTCTTTTTTACCAATTTTCTCTATGTTGTTACTTAATAGTTTCTGATGTTATGTTGAAGTTGTAACCCGGGTAAGAGAGACTTGTGTCAGGCACTGAAATGGGAATAAAAAAATGGTCTTTTGCCCAAAGGAACATCAAGGATGTATTGGCACAATGTGCACTGTCTTCTTGAGTAGCATCTCTGCCATCTTGCAACATTCTAAGTTGTTGGTGGGATGTATTTTTAAGATTTTTGCCTTCTGCAACTTAAAATGAGCCGAAAAAAAATTTATTATTATATTCCCCCGTAAATATTAGTTGGCTGGTTAGATAAATTCCTGAAATTCTGAAGCTCTAATGAAATGTAGTGACACATATTAGTGAAATGAGCTAGCTTGCTTGTTACCTCTTCTAACAAGTTTACGATCTTGCACTCACACCGTAATAGTTCAGTAAGTCTGGGAATCCCAAATTGTTCCACTGGCCAGTGATTTTTGTAATTGTCGCTCCTTAGAAGGGAATGCAGTATGTATTCATCTGTGATGTGTGATGCTCTGCCCCCCTCTAGCGTTGACATGCCTCCAGCTGCATTTTCTAGCGGAGCTAAATTGTTTCATCCAAGGAAATAAAAGGTGATAATTTCTGGTCCAGATGTTCAGTAGCCTTTAATGAAAACCCCGAGGATGTGATGTCAAGCAATGGGATACAAGTCAGCAAATGCTCAGAACAAGCATAGCCTCTTCCATTCTGGTCAATCTTTTGTATTTTATAGGATCATAGAATCATAGAATGGTTTGGGTTGGAAGGGACCTCTAAAGGTCATCTAGTCCAACCCCCCTGCCATGGACAGGGACATCTTCAACCAGATCAGGTTGCTCAGAGCCTCGTCCAGCCTGACCTGGAATGTTTCCAGGGATGGG